GTCTCTCTCTTTCTTTTTTTTTTTTTTTTTGAGAGTTTTTTTGCTATAGGGCGCGTGTGCTTGCCAGACAGACAGAGAGAGACAGAAAGACAGAAAGCGAGAAATCACCCCCCAGGGGGGATGGTCACGCCGCAATCCCTTCTCCTCTGTTCTCCTCTCGGGATCTTGGGCACACACACACACGCGCCCGGCGTGAGTTTTAATCCACTGGGTCCTGGACGTGAACCGCGGTCGACTACGTGGGAGTCCAGCGACATAGCCATTACGCTAACTGCTGGTTCCGAGCCAGGTGTCACTTTCTAACGTGCCCAGAGAGCGACCTTGCCCAGCTCCTGGGTGGGTGACTGTCACTGGCTGGTGGCTGGGGTACGGACATGTGTGTCCAGCCTGGCTCGGCAACCCCACCGTGAGCAGGTGTTTAAAATCCAGTGTGAGGTGGGGACTCCCACCCTGGGAGTTGGTGTGGACACCACCAGGTACCACAAGCAGCAGACATAGGTCTTGAAGCAGCCAGCGCTGAGCCACCGCCCTGGCCAATGCCTGGTCCTCTGCCCTCTCTTCCTGGCCTGCGATCATTTCTCGTGGGTCCCCCCACCCCCTCTCCTGTCCTCCGTTCCCGAGCCCGGTGTTCCACACCTGTTCTCACCCGAGGTTCCTGACTTCGCAACACCCACTGAAGGATATTCAAGGTCAGGACGGCCAGCCAGCCCACTCTTCACCCGCTGCCCCGTGGTCAGAGCCGCCCTGCCCGGCTCCGCCCCTCGACCTTGGCCTGGGCTGACCTGTGAGTCAGTCTCTAGAGTGCGTTCCGGGCAGTGGAGGGCCGGCTCAGAAGGACCTGCATTTAAAGGCGGACCCATGCTCCCACGTGCCCCCCCAGAAGGCTGTGCTGGCTCGAACTCCCTCCAGAAACACGGGACTCGCGGTGCAGCCCGCCCAGCTCCCGCTCACGGGTCGCCGGGTGAGCTCAGGCGGGCCGTGCTCCGCGGTTTGCATGCCTTCCAATGCTTAGCCCCTAGTCCAGGGCACTCATGTCTCTGAAAGCGACTCGTGCCCCTTCTCTGAAGGCTGGCTGTGTCCTCGCCATGCTCCGCTGTGCCTGTCCTAGCCGGCGTAGCAGGGAAGAGGTGGCTGCCTCTGTCCCATGTCCCCAGGACGGTCCCACTTCACCTGTCTCCACGACTGTCTTATTGACGTGCTCGAGTTCAGAACCTCTCTGAAGCTCTTAGTTTCACTTTATTTTTAAATTTTATTTGTTTATTATTTTAGAGGTTTTGCTATAGGTGCGTGCGCTCGCCAGACAGAGACAGAGAGACAGAAAGCGAGAAATCTCCCCCCGGGGGATGGCCACGCCGCAATCCCGTCTCTTCCACTCTCCTCATGGCCATCACGCCCACTGCGGGTCCCAGGGTTCGCTTCGTATCATGCGGGCTTTGACCGTCTGGCAGTGCCGTGTGAGGGAGGGTGAGGTGGGGCCCTCGGTCCCCTCTGGGGGGCCGACTGTCCCAGTACCTCCTGTTGAGTGACATCCCTTCCCTGGTTGGAAACCCCACCCTTGTCGTAAGCGAACTCCCCACGCATGCTGGAGGGCTCCGCGGGCCTCCCTGCCCCCGAGCCCCACGTGGGCACACGGCCCGGATCTCTCGCCTCTCAGGCTCCTCCTCTGCCCCTGCTCCCGGCCCTCAGGTACCCTTGCTTACTTTTCCCACAGAAGCTCCGTGACGAGGTTTCTCCCTCACCAAGAATGATCGCAGCATCCTTTATGCCAACTGGCCAACACGCACAGATCAGCGGAAAGGGCCTTGATACTTTCAGCGCTGAGTCTCCTTCCCAAGGCTGGATTAGGTCCTCCATTATTTTTAGAAGTCTGTTTTCCTTTTATTTTAACTGGGGAAGGGCACGTGCACTCGGCAGAGAGAAAGGGAGAGAGTCCCGGGTGTGGTCAGGCTGCAGCTCCTTCTCTGCCAGCACCCACTCCCGCGGGGATTCCGGCACACGGGCACGCTCACCCAGCACTGCTTTCGGGCCACAGGGCCGGGCTGGGACCGCGGGGACCTGGGAGCGTCGGGCTCCTTCACCCAGGGCTGGGGGCCGGCCATGCCTCGCTGAGCTTCACTGCTGTTTTCTCTACAAGAAGACCGTATGATTCTTGGTGTTTCTTTGCTGCGTGTTTTGTCTTTATTGGCCGTGTTTATAAACGAGGACTTTGCTGCTGTTTTCTCAGGATTCTTGTTGGAAACCAGGAGGGCTGTTGACGTCTGTAGATTACATTTGTAAAAGCCTCCCCTCTGAACTCTTTTGTTGTTCGTGATGGTCTCCACTGACTACATTCTTTTCTTATTTGTAATAGTTCTGGTTATCAGGCATTACATCATTTGAAAATAATAATCATGTTCTCTCAAAGTTTTTTTTTTTTTTTACAGTGAATAACACAAGGCCAACTTTGTTACTTTTACTTTTTAAAAAACATTTTCTTAATTATTATTATTTATTTATTTTTAAAAATTTGACCAGAGAGAGACAGAGAGAAAAAAAGGGAAAATGAGAAGGCAAGTTGCCTGGTCCAGGACTCGAACCACAGTTGGCCATGTGGGAATCCAGCACCCTAACCACCACACCACCTACTGGCCCCACTTTTTCCTTCTTAAGCTCTGTCAGGCTTGGGCAGCTGATTGTCAGAAGCTCTGTCCAGGCCGGTCACTGGTCACAGAGGACGGGTCCCAGAGGGACTGGATAGGCCCTGAGTAGCACAGCCTCCCCGAGTGCGGGGCCACGCGTGCCCATGATCGGGCTGCCGGGGGCCAGGCGTCCTGGCTCAAGACCCTGTAAGGTGTCGTCTGTTTCTCTCGTGCAGTAAATAAACATTAAAATAGTGTGTGCAGGGACCAGCAGTTGGTGTAATGGGTACGTCACTGGACTCCCATGTAGTCGACCACGGTTCGAGTCCTGGACCTGGTGGCTTTAACTCATACCAGGTGCACATGTGTGTGTGCCTGAAGTCCCGAGAGGAGAATGGAGGAGAAGGGATTACGGCGTGGCCATCCCCCTGGTGGGTGATTTCTTCCTTTCTGTCTCTGTCTCTCTCTTTCTAGCGAGCACACAAGCCGTAGAGCAACAAAACCTCTCCCCCCCCAAAAAAAAAAAAAGTTGTGTGTGCAGCTGCTTGTGGTGGAGTGACCCGTGGGAGTGAGATTGAGTAGCTACTGGGCCAGCAAGTGACCTGGTAGCTAAGGTTCTTGATCCCACGTGGCCACCTCTGTGGTTCAAGTCCTGGACCCAGTGGCTTGAAAAAAAAAAAAAAAAAAAAAACTAGGTGTGTGTGTGCATCTGTGCCCACAATCCCAAGAGGAGAAGGGTTGTGGTGTGGCCACGCTCCTGGGGTGAGCTCTCACTTTCCCCCTCTTTCTCTCCAGTGAGTATACACACCCTATGGCAATACAAACTTTTTTAAAATTGGGAAGCTGCTGCAGGCTCACCAGGAGATGTCTTGGCGGAATTCAGTCAGCAACCTCGTTCACATGGTGGAGGCGGACAGAGAACCCTACCGCACAGCTGCAGCCCCCAGGGCCAGAGGAGACGCGGGCGAGCCCTCGTCAGGGGCGGAGAGCAATCTCGCGTGTCAACGGCGCTCCCAATGCGAGCGCTGCGTGAGGGCGCTGGAGTGATGGCTAGGCAGGAGGGGTCGTGTCCCTGTGCTGGAATGGCGGGAAGGCTCTCCTGGCGGCCCTGGCGGCTGGGGTAGTCAGCCGGGCCTGCCTGCTCACTGTGCGGTTTGCTTTGAGATTGAGTGACGGTTAGGACGCAGAGACCCGGGGCTCAGAGGAAGATGAGGAAGCTCAGCCGCGTGAGCGTCACACCCAGAAGTACACGGTCAGGTCGTTTGGAGGAAAAAACGCCTTCATTTTTGGAGAGATTTTCGCTATGGGGCTCTCTCACCAGGGAGAGAGACAGAGAGCAAGAAATCATTCCCCCAGGGATGGCAATACCACAGTCCCTTTTCCTCCATTCTACTCCCAGGATGGGCACACACTCACAGAGAGAGACAGAGACAGAATGAGAGAAATCACCCCCCCCCGGGGGGATGGTCACGCCGCAATCCCTGCTTCTCCATTCTCCTCTTGGGATCTTGGGCACGCACGCACACGCTCCCGGTGTGAGTTTTAAGCCACCGGGTCCAGGAGTTGAATCGTGGTCGACTACATGGGAGTCCAGAGACATAGCCATCATGCTAACTGCTGGTCCCATGTCTGAGGTGAGTTTTAAGTCTCCAAGTCCAGGACTTGAACCGCGGTCGACCACGTGGGAGTCTAGCGACGTAGCCATTACACCGTCTCTTGTCCCAGAGTCTCCTTTTTGAATAGGCGGGGGAGACAGACTTCTGGCGTGCTGTGGCCCTCCTGCCAGCGCCCGACTGTGCACCAGAGCGCTGGCCTGTCCAGGTCACGGCAGGACCTGACCCGGGCCACCTCCCAACGGCACCGCTGCGGCTGGGCCTTGGGCGTGAGTTTCATTCCCTACCTTTACAGACGGGCCGAGACACAGTCACCTTACTCGGTGGCAGTGCAACCTGCGTGTCTGCAGGGGACCGCAGTGCCGCCTGGGAGGGCAATACTGTAACACGACTTTATCTGGGGTGCTCCTGTCGTCTGACCACGCCACGTCTCGTTCCAAGCGATGGAGACTGATGGCCGGACCGTGGGCTCTCTGGTCCGGGCCTGCACCTGTGGACGCGCCGCTTGCGTTCCCGGACCATGGTGGTTTGCCGCCGCAAGCTCAGGGGCTCGGTTCCTGTTTACCTTGTGTGCTGGGCTGGGGAGCAGCTTTCTGCTCTGTTCCGGAGCATTTGCCGCCGTGGGTGTCCGGTATCACAGGCGACTTTGCAGCGTCCTCCACGGTCACCGAGACGCCGACCCTCCCGTCTGCCCTGCTTCCGCCCGGCCTTCCTCCTCAGCTCCTCGCCTTCTGCTGGCAGCTAACAAGTTCTGCTGTCTCTCCTCAAGGCTTCGAGGTCTTGGCTTCTGCTTCCCATTACTGGCCGCTGGAAACGGTGGATGGAATCCATGAATTTCAGGACACAGCTGGAGGTACCTGGGGTGCGAGGGGTGCAGACGCAGGGTGGGTGGCTCGGCAAGCCAGGTGGGGGGATGGAGGCTCCCCCCCCGCGGACTCAGCTGGCCGAGTGTCCGCACAGCTTTCCCGAAACACTACGTCAGGACTGTTTTACTAGGACATTTGTAAACTTACGATAGAAGAACAGAGTCTGCGACCCACATACCACCACAGAGGGGAAGCGCCGTGACAGACACCCCTGGGCACATAGCGGCCACGGCTGGCCTCCCGTGCACAAGGCCAGAGACGGCCAGCCGGGACTGAGCGGCATGTCTGTGGGTCCCTGTTGCTCTGCACAGGGACCCCAGGTGCACGGAGTCTGCTGTGGCCGACCCTGAGCTCTCCCCAGCACGTCTCCTGCTCCAGGAGCCTTTTGTAAAGCACGCATGGCGGGCACAGCTCTCTGACGGCTCCCACAGCTCGCTCTGGTCTGTGCGAGCATGAAAGCCCCACAGACTGCGGACGCCCACGGCTCCTGCCCCAGCGCCGGCCTTCCCACCTCCCATGACGCTGTGCTGCTGGGCCCACCAGCCGAGGTCCCGGCAGGGTTCCTGAGAACCCGTGATTGGAGACCGTCAGAGCGCTCGGGGCCGGAGCCTGCTGGGCACCTGCCAGTGCTGGGTATGGATGGCCCTAGCCGAGACCCCAACTCAAACAGTGTAGGCTGCAGGTGTGGAAAAGCCCCTCCGACGCCCCCACAGGTGACGGCAAAGTGTAGACTTTCTTCTTTGCCATTGTGCACATGCACTCACTAGAGAGGCAGAGAGTGAGAGAGCTCACCCCAGAGGGGACGGCCACGCCGCAATTCCTCCTCCTCCATCCTCCCCATGGGACCCTGACACGCATGGACATACACCTGGCATGATTTTTAAGCTACCTGGGCCAGGACTCAAACTGCAGTCAGCCATGTGAGAGCCCAGTGCCTTAACCTCCACGCCACCTGCTGGCCCCAGGACCTTCCTCTTAAAGCCACTGAAAGAGAACCACCTCTCCGGGTGGAATGCATGCTGACGTAGCTCGCGGCCCAGGGCCAGCGACCACACATGCAGAGTGATCTGAGCCCGAGCTTGGTAGCTAGCCCCAGGCTCCTGTCCTCGGTCCTCTGAGCTCACAGCTCAGACCCAGGAGCTCTCGGCGCCGTAGAAACCCCTCAGTGACAAATGTCCCACTAGCCATAGAGCCACTCAGGTACACTGACACTGCGGAGGGACTGGGGACAGCGTGACTTGCAGGGACCCTCAAGCGTGTCAAGTTAGCCCTGCTAGGCTGTTTCAGGGTGGTCACGAGCTTGCAAGGTAGCCAGAGTGGAGGGTCCCGGGGACAGTAGTGGCTCCTGGAGGGTCCCGGGGCAGCGAATGGCTCCGGGGACCCGCCCGTGGATGCAGCTTTGCCACTGGCTGCCCGTTCCTCGTGTGTCCACTCATCACGCTCTCCCGCAGTGTGTCCAAGCCACGTGTCTGTCCCTTCCGTCCTTATGACATCACAGCTCTTAACCCTTTGTCGGGGCCATTTGATGGCCAGGCTTAACGTCATATCTCTCACCTGAGTTTTCTCACGGGAGTCGG